ATCCCTCGTGCTCTCTGAAACAAAGATTTACCCACGGTAGCTAACTGTGAAGGATGATGGTGAGATTCACCATTTAGATATCGGTTGGTATGGGTCTTTTCCCTATACACAGTGTGACCAATAGTGTTATCAGGATTTCGGATGACTAAAACATCTAGGAAGGCTAAAGAATTATTTGCCTCTAACTCCATTGTGAATTGTATTTTAGAGTTTATGGAGTTAAGGTGGTCTAAAAATGCAGTTACTTTGTCAGATGGTAAAATTGTGAAAGTGTCGTCTACGTACCGCTTGTAGAACCTTGGATTTACAGGAGCAGTAAGAAGGGCTTTCTCCTCAAAGTCCTCCATGAATATGTCGGCGACTATGGGAGACACAGGTGAGCCCATCGCCACACCATCTACTTGCTTGTAGAACTCCTCCTTCCACAATAGATAGCCAGATGTGAGACAATGTTCAAGTAGTATTGCATATTCTCGAGGCATGTTATTTTTTTCTAGCTTCCTAGTTACAACTGTGATGCAGTCCACAATAGGTAGGTATGTAAATAGTGACTGAACATCAAAACTGACCATAGTTTCATTGTTAGCGAGATGTAGGTCTTTTGTCTCACTCACAAAATGGTACGAATCCTTTGTGTGTGCTCTGGTATGTCCTCTCAGTGGTGATAGTATTTTTGCTAAGTATTGTGCCAGCTTATAAGTTGGTGAATCGATCTGGCTCACTATGGGACGTAGTGGAGCGTTTGGTTTGTGTATCTTGTTGTCCCCGTGACCATGGGTACTGTAAAGCACCCGAAACGTCGGGATAATAATAAAAATAAATTAAAGTAATTAAACGCGATAAAATCTGTAAATAGTAGTTTTATTCAATGTGTAGTGTTTGCGTAAATTTAAGAAATCATTATTTGATTTGTTTATTGCTGTTGTTGTTTATTTTTAGGGTTCCGTAGTCAACTAGGAACCCTTATAGTTTCGCCATGTCTGTCTGTCCGTCTGTCCGTCCTCGCTTAATCTCTGTGACCGTTAGCACTAGAAAGCTGAAATTTGGTACCAATATGTGTATCAATCACGACGACAAAGTGGTAAAATAAAAATTGGAAAAAATGTTTTATTAGGGTAGGCCCCCTATATGTAAAGTCGGAAGTGATTTTTTTTTAATTTCAATCCTAACGTGTGATATATTGTTGGAAAGGTATTTAAAAATGAATAGGGGTTTACAAAAATCATTTTTGATAATGTCGATAATTTCGGAAATAATCGCTCCAAAAGAAAAAAAAACAATGTGTTTTCCCTCTAACTTTTGAACCATAAGTTCAGAAAATATGAAAAAAATCTGAAAAGTGGAACTTTATAAGGACTTTCTAGGAAAATCATTTTGAACTTGGATGGAAACAACAGTACCCACTACCGGGAGCAGTTGCAGGAGCTCGGAGCGCTGCTGGAGCGCGAACATAATGGATACCCACCTTTAAACTCATAAGTGGGAACACTTATTGTGACGGACGGGAAACTACGGAACCCTACATTGAGCGTGGCCCGACACGCTCTTGCCGGTTTTTTAGTTTAATAATTTCTAAATACTCGTATCGTGAAATTGTAGTAAGGTAAGTTTATATTTTTTTTTTTTTGTAATTAATTGTGTTTTTGTAGGTGATGGTGCATAATGATACATAGTTTTAAGAGCGTGTACTCGCCGACAAACTGATTGCAGTTTGCCGAGAGAATAGTAAAAATAATGTACTTACATTTGAATGAATAAATAAATTAAAAAAAAGTGATGGAGTGCACATCTGCGTTGCGTGATAAATTGGTCGGCCTCGGCAGCGTCTTTATTGGTTGGGACGAAGCAGTAATCTGCGATTTCGTACGGGTGACATGCTGCTCTAAATGTCAGCAATACGGCCGTCCGGAGAAGCATTGCAGGGCGGCATCGATGGTGTGCGGCAAATGTGGCGAGACTGGGCATCGTGCCGCAGAGTGTCAGTCGGCTACACAGTGTTGCGCCACATGCAAGCGCTTCAAGCGGAAAGACGCTGACACCCATACCACTGCGCTCTCAGCTGTCCTGCACGTTTGCATGCGGAACAGCAGTCGGTTAATATGACCCAATATGGATAAGACGATTACCTGTCGCGTAGGTCAGCTAAACTTGCAAGCAGAGATTGAAAATGGTTCCAAAATACCGGTATAGAACAGTTATTAAGGGGTTCCGGTACCTATACCGGAACAGGAACCAGAACCTAAATTGGAACCTTTAAGAACCTTTATTTTACCGGTTACTAACTAAATAAAGCGAAATCGAGTCCAAACTTGTTTGAGGTTCGGTCGGGTGGACGGCGCAATGCGGCGCGCGGCAGAGTGTGAGGAGTGGGGAGTTTTTAAAACATCACATTTGTATTGGTGGATCTTCTGTTGCATATCAACGCGCGCGCCACTCGCTCGTGTTCGTATTAATAAAATTATAGTTTTTAAATCGTACGTACCTATTTGTATTTGTTTGTTGTGTGTGTAAATAGTTGTAATATATTAGTGTAATAGAATAATTATAGTAATAGATAAAATATATTAGTATAATAATCTATTTTAAGAAGAAGAAGTTAATCATTTTCGCAATAAGCAATTATTATTATTACGCAAAATGACAATGGGCCGAAAGAAATCTAATTTCGTCTATAAATATTTTATATATGATGAACATCAAAAACATTCCACATGTACTGTCAATGACTGTGGTGCAGTTATAAAGGTAAGTAATTATGACATTATTTAATCATTTTTTTATTTAATATGCTAAACAAACTATTTGCCTTCGTATAAGTTAGTGTAGTGTTATAAATTATAATTTTATAGAAGCTAGGTTATTATAAAGGATTTGAATGGTTTAATATTAATTAATATTATGAAAGGCATGTATTTGAAGAACATTGTAAAAAAAATGTATGCAGGTTCGAGCTCCACACGGAACACGTGAGTTTGTTACAAAAATTATTGTTGTTCCGAGTCTAATGGTAAATTTATGAACGTGCTTTTATGCTTCTTGCAGGGAAATCATGGAACAAATTTATTAAAATATATGAAGAAGTATCCTGTGCAATATAAGCTTATAATTCAATAGAATAGCGCAGAAAGTGAAGAACACGTCGAAGGAAATAGAAAGAAAAATCCAAACCATATTTCGAAATTAAACTGATGGATGAATGTATAAATTTAGTAACGACATGTGGGAGACCGCTAACTTTGATTGACAACAAACCTTTCCAAAACATATTAGATATGGAAAAGGCAGGATGCTCACATAGTCCCATAAACTCTCACAAAATTCGTGAAGCCACCCAAACCAAAGCTGACAATTTGCGTGATGATATTGCTTCAAAGATTAAAAAAAAACTTATGTCTTAAATTAGACATCGCATCATGCCATTTGCGAAGTTCTTTAGGAATTAACCAGCAGTTCATCGAAAAGGACCAGATAGTTATCAAAACATTAAGTGTGACTGAACTCACCCAAAGAGATACAGCCGAGTTTTTTAAAAGACCAATTAATTTATGTGCTGAATCGGTTCAGGATATCTATCTCCCAAATTTATTCCATAGCCACTGATAATGGAGCAAATATGCTGAAAATGGTCAGATCCAGGTCAAACCTCTTCTCCTTTAAAAAGGCTGGGCATGAAGCTTTATGCAAGGCCAAATGGTTTCCACCACAGTTAACACATTGGAAATTCTGTGTTTCACAGTTCTCATAACTACCACCGCATTTCGGACAGACTATTTTACTGGAAGGGCATTTCTTTGTAGGGTTACCACATTTCTAGCGTTTCGAGTATTGCGATACTGGAAATACATAAGGAGTAACTTTTATACGTAATCCATGAACGTATATGTACTGTGGAATAAATGAACCTTTAAATTTAAAGCACACTTGTACCACTTCACTTGGCTGCCAACCTTTTCCCTCAAACAAACAACAAATTGACAAAGCCCTTTTTCTAAGAATAAAAAAAACCTTTTCCCTCTCTGTCTCGAAGTTTAAGTCGATATACAGATATTATTTCTGCGGGTTTAACACACATTATATTTCTTAAAATTTCCTCGTCAGATAAATCATGGTCAACGTCTTTAATGACGCCAACGAATATACGTTCCAAGCTTTATCTTTGAATTCGTGATATTTTTCAATTTCATCGGCACTTAACTCGCTGCAGACTTCGACCCGAATCTTGAAAAGGTTAATGTATTTTGCAATAATATATTTTATAATGTATATGATAATGCATCTTAGCTAATGCAAATTATTTAGGCAACTTTTCATTGCTAGACACATAAATCTCAATATCCTCCTTCAGTTGTGGCTTTAATCTTTTCTCTTTGCTATTGACTAAATTCCATCCCTCCTTATCATAAACAAAAAAATACTCTCCCCCTATCCCTTTTTTCCCTCCTAAATTGGTCTTCTTCCATTCCAGATTGTACTAAGTTCTCTTCTTTGTAAGGCTCTTCTTCCGCATCTGATATACTATGTTCACTCAAAAAAATGTCGCTCGCCATTATAACTGTACCCACATTCTCTAAATGCGAGTTGTTTACATTCATTAGTATTATATCACTCTAATGAATGTCTTCGTTATGAACAGGCCGCTCGCACACCGGCAACATAACGGTACTCCGCTATATTGTAGGATAACGAACAAGAACATAAATTATTAAAAGAAGTGGAACAAGCCTTAAAAACTAGCATACAAGAAAATGAGGATGATTCAGATGATGACGAGAATGGAAAAATGGAGATGACGAGTGACGAAGTAGATTTTATTCTCGAAGATTACTTAGAAAGTGAACATTACACGGTTGCGGCCGTTAGGTGTGCTGCACATACGTTGCAGTTAGCAGTACAAGATGCTTTAGGGAGTGAATCTTCATCCATTCAGACGATGCTCACAAATGCGCGTGAGGTTAAAAAAAAAGTTACGCACCACATTGTATCAACACTTACTAAAAAGAATGGGGGCTAAAAGACCTGTGGTGGATTGCCCCACGCGTTGGAGTTCGACTTATGATATGTTCACTCGGCTACTAGAACCTCGGCCAATATGTACAGAGAATTATGAGCTCTATTTGTCCGACACTACCCGGAATTCGATTGAGATTACTGTAGCCTCTTTAAAACCAAGCAACATCCTGACTAAAAAGTTACAAATGGAACAAATGACTATGAGTGACTTTTACCTCAATTGGATAAATTGCAAAATAGAGCTGAAGGGGATAAACACCACCCACGCGTGCGAATTACATCGCAACATGGAAATTAGGGAAAAAGTCCTGTTCGAATCTAAAGCGTTTGTCGCAGCTGTATATATGGATCCACGTGATAACTTCCTGTTGAACACTGATCAACTGGAAATTGCAGAAAAAGCGTTGGTTAGTGCATGGATGAGGTGGCGCAAATTAAATAAACAAGACCGTGATAGTACAGTGTTTAGCTCTCCTGTCACCTCTACTTCAACGCAGCAGCAAAATGAAGGTTCTCAGCTAGAAGATTTCTTGGATCAGTCATATAATAACACCCTGCGAGGAGATCCAAGCTATGGCTGCGCTGGAGACGACTCAGATATCAAAATAAACTTGAAAGAATTTTTCAACAAACAGGTGCGCCTTCCTCCGAGAAAAAATATTTTATTATTTTGGGAAAGCAAAAAAATATATTACCTGATCTGTATATTTTATCAAAGATAGTACTGGCTGCACCTAGTACACAAGTCAGTGTAGAGAGGTTATTTTCCTCTTTGAATTTTGTATTCAACAAACTTCGGACGAAATTAAAAAGTGGCTTAATTGATGATATTTTCATATTACTCCGGTTTCGACCGCTTTAGCGTACGGACGTGTCAGTGTAGTCTCCGCATTTTAAATTCATTTAAAGTGTCCCAAGTTAACCCTTTGCCATAAGTGCTGTCTATTAGTGTTCGTGGCATATGTGGTTGCATATTGTGATAATTTTTCGTGAATTTATATTGTTAATTTGTGTATATTTTAAACATTTCTACGAAATAATCGTTCAGTGCATTTGATATCATCTGGATTATCCATGTGCTGAGCTAAGTATTTCTAAGTTTAATTATTTCTTTTAATTTATCTGACATTTTGGAGTAATATTCCTATTATAGCATTACTTAATTAAAAATTTTTATTTCATCTAACCTTAAATTGAGGTTAATTTGTAAGCACGTGGTGAGCACGCGGTTTCAGTTATCAGTTTCAATTGACGTTTGCGGTTGTCAGATTCAATTGACGTTTGACGTCTGACGTCCGATATCACAAGTCAGTGTAGAGAGGTTATTTTCCTCTTTGAATTTTGTATTCAACAAACTTCGGACGAAATTAAAAAGGGACTTAATTGATGATATTTTATTCTTAAGAAATAATTCAGATAATGAAACAGTTTGATAATTTTCATCATAGAATAGATCTTATTATTATGTTTGAAGTGTATAAACCTATATGACTATGATGATTGACTATGATCATAATTAGATATCCCCGATTCTGGTGCGCATCAATTACTAAGCTTAGAATAGTTAGGTTATTTCTCCCTTATACTTACCAATAAAACAAGAAAGGGATGTGCGGGGAACGGCAGTCGGCCCCGATGGAGTGAAAGCTGCCATGAGGCGCGCCCGCCCGTGGTATCCTGTATCCTTAGACCTGTCGTCGTCCGGACACAGTGCCACGAGTAAGCCCCGCATGGCTTCTCTCACTCCCCCCCGTGTAACCCCCCCGCAAACTGTATACCGTTTATCACGTTGTAAGGAGGACGAAACCTCCCGCTAGCTACTTGGTAAGCTCGCCCCAAGGACCGATGTTGCCTGTTTCGGCACTTTTCCGAAACTGGGCCAGTTCCGTTTCCCCCATCATCTGTCGGTATCTCGCTCTCATACTACGGAAACGTTCCATAGCCAATTCCTCGGACCTACCACCTTTCTTTCTGGTCTTCTGCCACACTCTCCTCGCATTACACACCTTTTTCCTCATCCTATCGCGTTCAGGCGTCCAACATTCGTAGCCGCCTTCCCGCCTCGGGCGCGCATTCCCTAGTACGTCCTCCGCAGATCGGACGACGATATCCGTGAACTGCGCACAGAGACGGTCAACCGGCTGTTGAACATTCAAATTACCTATTCTCACATGAATAGTACCGCGAAAATACCGCCAGTCCACCCCCGGTCACGAAAACGTGCAGGTTCCTCAACCAGCCCCACAAGCTCCGCATGACGGTCTTTTTCAATCTTAAAAACAATGAGGCGATGGTCGGTCATGCTAGCGCAATCCAGTACTCGCCACCCTGATACTGCAACGCCTCTGGTCGCGAGGGTCAGATCGATGTTGGATTCACCCCTGGCCCCAGCGAACGTGGATGGTTGTCCCTCCACGTTGGCCAGGGTGAGCCCTCGCGAGTAGATAGGGACAGTGGGAATCTCGTTAATCCATTCATGCGCGTCACTAATTAGATGACGAGGCATTTGAGAGAGTCATAGTTTTTTTTTCTTTCTAATATGAATTAGAGGATAAATAACGCCCTTTGAGCGAAAGGGAATCTGGTTCCTATTCCGGAACCCGGCAGTGGAACCGTTTCATTAATCGTTCCCTCGTTTCAAAGCGAGTGTTCGACGGGGTAACCCAAAGTGGCCTGAAGACGCCGCCGAGGGGTCCGGGAAGAGTTTTCTTTTCTGCCTGAGCGTTCGAGTTCCATGGAATCCTATAGAAGGGAGATATGGTTCGGAACGCGAAGAGCACCGCATTTGCGGCGGTGTCCGGATACTCTCTGCGGACCTTGAAAATTCAGGTGAGGGATGTACGTGGAGATGTCGCGCCGGTTCGTAACCATATCCGCAGCAGGTCTCCAAGGTGAAGAACCTCTAGTCGATAGAATAATGTAGGTAAGGGAAGTCGGCAAATTGGATCCGTAACTTCGGAATAAGGATTGGCTCTGAGGACCGGGGCGTGTCGGGTTTGGACGGGAAGCGGATGCGGCCAGTGCCGGGCCTGGTCGATACTCGTGCGTCTCTCGGGGCGTGCGGGCTGAATCCGGACCCGCGTTCCGGCCTTCCAGGTATCTTCCTAGCCGTAAGGTCGCGTCGGTTTCACTTCGTGCGAGATCGGCGCGCGCCTGTACGACCGCCGTTCAACGGTCAGCTCAGAACTGGCACGGACAAGGGGAATCCGACTGTCTAATTAAAACAAAGCATTGCGATGGCCCTCGCGGGTGTTGACGCAATGCGATTTCTGCCCAGTGCTCTGAATGCCAACGTGAAGAAATTAAAGCAAGCGCGGGTAAACGGCGGGAGTAACTATGACTCTGAGGTGGGTCTCTGCGCTGTGGTGCACGTGTTGACACCGATGAAACCGATCGCTGTGGCCCGAATAGCCTCATAACGGGGCGCAGCGGGTTCTCCTGCTCGCGTCCCGGCCCTAACGGGAGGAGTTCGTGCGTGCTCCTCTCTCGATAGAATCCTAGTGTGGTGGTTGGGGAACCGCCAGCCATTTTCCGACCATTCAAATACACGACCTCCGTCGAGTTAGCAAATGGGGTCCGCGGTGTCTGGGTGGCCCTTTCCAGTCACGGGGATTCAACTCCTACCCGAGGCCTGCACGTGGCGCCGCCGCTTAAGACCGACACGGGAGGAGAGACGTGCCTAAATTAGTATGCTCCGAAAGCGAGTGCGAGGTTCAGGGTGAGATCCCTGAACAGTCCCAACGGGTGGCATTTATGCCGCCAAGTCGAATCGCTGACTTCGGTCGGGACCTTTGCCAGAGCGTTAGGCGATCCAGGTGGCTAGGCTTGCACCCCGGCCACATTGGGCATATAAACAAGCAACGGACAAAGTAAGAAAAAAAGTATTATTTTGCCACCCCGCTTGGCTTGGCTTGGCCCAACTTCGGCCACTCAAACTGGGACTTCGGCCACGGTTTCTGCGGTCTCAGACTGGACGTGTCCGGTGTGTGGACGTGTGTTCACCCCCAAAAAGGGATTCACAAGCGTAGGGCCCATCCCGAAGTAGCAAATGCGGAGGCCGCTCCAAACATGGTGAAGCGCAGGTGGCGCGATGAGGAGCTGGCATTGATGGCGCGTGCAGAGGCGCGATTACTAAAAGAGACCGGTCGCTGTACGAACGCAGACCTGCTCCAAAGCCTGTCCGGGTTCGAGCGGACCCTAGAGGCCATAAAAGGAAAAAGGCGCTGTGGGGAATACAAACGACTGGTACAAGAGTGCCGGGCAGAATTCAAGGACAAATCCCCACACAAGAGCAGCCAAGCGCCTGATAGCAGGGGGTTCGACACGGCCAGAATCCGAAAGTGTCGCGCTTTCTGTCCAGCCTCTGCCAGCTGAAGACGCACCGCCTGTCGCTGATGACCCATCATCGCACTACTGTAGTGTCCCAGATAACTCGTGTGCAGACCAAATTGTCGCGGATCTTCTTGAGAGGGCCGCGATGAGGAGGTCGCGACACGGCCTGGGTTCCCGTAATGCGAGGCGGCTCCGCATCTCGAACGTGACACCGCACTGGTCGGTATGTCGAGCCGCAAGCGGAGGAGAGTAGAGTAGGCCAGGGTACAGGAACTCATTCGAACGTGTCCCAGTCAAGCAGCAGCCGAGGTGATCGACGGTGTGCACAGGAGCGTTCGGCACTCTCTCGAAGATTTAGAAGCCTATTAGCGACCAATCCTAGAGAGGATGTCGGATGCCTTAGGGCCTACACCGTCTGCGCTGAACGCCTTAAGGCGGGAGGAGCAGTATGGGGGCGCACGTGATTACTCTCGGATGTGTGTGCCTTTCACGACCGACGAAGTGAAGGCATTCAAGTTCAACTGGCAAACGGCGCCTGGTCCGGACGGTATCCGCCCGCATGAGTGGCGCTTAGTTCCTGCGGCCCGAAAAGCGGAAATATTCAACTCTTGGTTGACCACTGGCGTAATACCAGAGCCCCTGCGGCAATGCCGGACGATCTTCGTGCCGAAGACGGACGTTCCTGTTGGGCCGGGTGACCATCAACCGATTTCTATCGCGTCTATACCGCTTAGGCACATGCACTCGGTCCTGGCGTGGAGACATCTGGATTGCTGCCACCCCCCGATGCACGACAACGTGGATTCGTCTGCGCCGACGGCACGTGGGAGAATTCCGCCGTGCTGGACGCGGTGCTAGGGGATAGCAGGTAAAGGTTAAGAGAGTGTCATGTGGCGGTCCTCGATTTCGCGAAGGCGTTCGACACAGTGTCTCATAGAGCGCTGGTCGGGCTACTCCAGGCTCGGAGGCTGCCCGTGGCATTCTGTGATTACATATCTCGGCTGTACGACTCGGCGACCACCACGATGGATGTCGGCGTACAGTCGAGTGCAACTGTTAAACTGGGCCTAGCTTTGCGTCAGGGAGATCCGTTGTTGCCCATCCTGTTCAACATGGCGATGGACGTAATTCTTGCCGCTCTACCGAAAGAGGTAGGCTATAGGCTGGAAATGGAGCGAGTCTCGGCTCTGGCCTATGCCGATGACCTGATCCTGCTTGCAGGCTCAAATGTAGGGATGCAAGAATCCATTGACCGTGTGTTCGAGGTTGCGTCGTCGATGGGTCTCTTGGTAAACAACAACAAGAGCTCCGTCTTGTCGATGGTGCCTGATGGAAAGCGCAGGAAGCACCACTATCTGACCGGGAAAAATTTCCGGATAGGTCGGAAGTGGTTGAGTCAAACTTCCTGCGTGGAACGTTGGCGCTATCTCGGCATCGACTTCCAGGCGTCTGGATACGTGATGTTAGAGCATGACATCAAAGTTGCCTTAACTAATATCTCTAAGGAACCCCTCAAGCCGCAGCAGCGACTCGAAATCGTAAGGGGACACCTTATTCCGAGATTCTTGCATGGCCCTGTGTTGGGCAATATCTCGGATGATAGGTTAAGCATGCTCGACGTCTAGATCCGGGGTGCGGTTAGGAATTGGTTGAGGCTCCCGAAGGGTGTGCCTGTCGGGTACTTCCACGCCGACATCAAGGACGGCGGCCTAGCGATCCCATCGCTTCGGGCGACCGTCCCGGATCTCATACTGAAGAGGTTCGGGCGGCTCGACTCATCGAGTTGGCCAGTGGCAAAGGCCGCCGCCAGATCCACAAGGATCCGAAAGAAGTTGAGCTAGGCCGATAAGCAAATCCGAAAGTTCACCAGAGAGGATCCGGTCACGGGCCTTAGGTCCGTCTCACGGTTTTGGCGAGATAGACTGTGGAGCTCAGTAGACGGGTTCGAGTTACGCGAATCCGCCCGCACTCCCGCGTCTACAAAGTGGATGCGGGAGGAGTCTTCACATGTCTCGGGTCGGGACTTCATGCAGTTCGTCCACACACATATAAACGCCCTCCCGTCAAGGGTTCGAACATCTAGAGGGCGAAGGATTGCTCGTGAGGCGGAGTTGAACTGCGGCGCCGGGTGCGTGGTTAGGGAGACGACGGCTCACACCATCCAACAATGTTGGCGGACGCACGGGGGCCGGATCTTGCGCCATGACCGTGTAGTGAGTCTAGTAGCAGAAGCGATGGCCTCAGACCAATGGTCGGTGGTGACTGAGCCTCATGTCAAGACCTCGAAAGGTCTTCGGAAGCCTGACATAGTAGCCGCTAAAGGAGGCGTCGGAGTGATCGTGGACGTCCAGGTAGTCTCGGGCCAGCGGCCCCTCGATGATGCTCACCGTGAGAAACGTAGTAAATACAGGACTCACGAGGAGCTAGTTCAGAAGGTTGCTGGTATACTAGGACTACCCAACAAGGATTGCGTCCATGCGACCTCTTGTACGATCTCCTGGAGAGGTGTTTGGAGTCACTCCTTGTTCAGATCACTGAACGATATTTAAGTGAGAGAAGCGGTAAAACCGGTCTGCTGGCAGCCGCGGTCGGCTTGGAGTGGAACTGGGAGTGAGCGAACGGACTTGGCACCGACAGTACGCGTGGATGCTCATATAATACAATTTTAATTTAAGCATACTGTAACGTTTAATTCTTTATTTTACCAGTTTTTATATAAATTTGCAGTCATTTCATTTAGTACTACAACATCGAGAACAAACATATTGGTCCTTCTCTATAATTTTAGTTGACCTCGCTTAAGTTTGCTGTCTTCATTTTATCGCCGTGCTCCTGCTTTGTACGCCGTTGGGATCATTACACAGGCATATCATTGCATTTAGGCATACTTGCTAAATTTGCTAACACTAAGAAGAAGAATTGTCGGGACAAAGTGGAAGTTTATATTTATACATATGAAGTTAGCATTTACTGTGATTTGTACGTGAGACGTGCCCTTCATCCTCAAATTGAAAAATAAAATACACAAAAAGAAGAATTAAACAGACTTCCTTCATCTTCACGTCGTGATCGCAGAAGACGGCATAATACATACGAGAGATCGCTGCAGTTTCCTTTCTACATCATTATGTCATTTCATCCACCATCATCAATAATAATCTATGTATTAAAAACTTAGTTTATGTACCCCCATTAATATGACATATAATAATTTTTTTTTCATAGCAAATCATTACATTTCCAATGAATGATTAAGTACACTTAGTGATTCTCTTTGTTGTAGAACTTATAGTTAAATAAATTTTATCTTGTAGATACGCATACTAAATACACATAATAGTTACGCAGCTATATTAACCTCCACGGCTTTGCGCCTAACAATAATAAATTTATTGCAATTTTAAAATAAATTTGCTTGTTTCTTACTCCCTATAATACATTGCATTTACTTTTTTTTGCTTTTTCTTCATACTTTAATTTACTACATTATTCATTTTTATAAAATGGCAGAATCAAAAACATTAATAAAAAAAGCGAGCTTCTATCAAAGCTAAGCTCACACAATTTTCTTCATATATAAACCTGTCAAAGTCTTGTGAAAGGTTAAGTGTGCTGTTCACTTAACCTTTCACTGGTCATTGAAATTGAATATATATAAATAAAACCTATAAGATAAATACGATTCGTTACAGAATGAACTGGAGGCGTTGGCGGATGACCTCGACGAGCAATATACGGAGCGTGAAGTCTTTGAAAAGCTGTCATCATCATCATCATTACAGCCCTTCACAAATCCACTGCTGAACACAGGCCTCCCCCAAGTAATGCCACAAAGCACAGTCCTGAGCCACCTGCATCCATCGACTTCCTGCATATCTTACCAGGTCGTCACTCCATCTAGTGGGGGGGTCGCCCTACACTACGCCTACCGGTACGAGGCTGCCACTCGAGAACCTTTCTTCCCCATCGGTTATCGGTTCTTCGAGCTATATGGCCGGCCCATTGCCACTTCAGCTTACTAATCCGTTGGGCTATGTCGGTCACTCTGGTTTTACTGCGGATATCCTCATTTCTGAGTCTATCACGCAGAGAAACTCCGAGCATAGCCCTCTCCATAGCTCGCTGAGCGACCTTGAGCGTCCTCATACGGCATAAGTTGACTGTCGGTATATCGAAGTGCTGAAGTGTTTGTACAGTAGGGCTACGATGGCTATCCGAGTACAGAACCAGAGCTCGAAACCTATCCAACTGCAGAGAGGTGTAAGACAGGGTGACGTTATATCCCCGAAACTCTTCACCGCTGCTTTGGAAGACGTTTTCAAGCTACTGGACTGGAAAGGATACGGTATTAACATCAATGGCGAGTACATCACTCACCTTCGATTTGCCGACGATATAGTCCTTATGGCAGAATCGCTGGAGGACTTAAGCACTATGCTCAATGACTTCAATAGTGCCTCCCAACGGATAGGTCTTAAGATGAACATGGACAAAACAAAGATCATGTTTAATGTCCATGTCACACCTATCCCGGTAGTTGTTGGGAGCACTATGCTCGAAGTTGTTGACGAGTATGTTTACCTGGGACAAATAGTCCGACTAGGTAAGTCCAACTTCGACTGAGAGGTCAATCGACGGATTCAACTCGGCTGGGCAGCGTTCGGTAAATTACGACATATCTTCTCGTCAGGTATACCTCAATCTCTAAAAACTAGATTGTACAACCAGTGCGTGTTGCCAGTGATGACTTACGGATCTGAGACGTGGTCCTTCACTGCTGAAAAGCTGTATTATAATCTAATAGCTGCTGCTCGTCAACTTGTAAGCAACGCACGCAAACAGCTCACGACTACCGAAGTTGCGTCAGAGGTAAGTTTTTGTGGTCATATTTTCACGTGGTAGAGCCATGCTGCAGTTATATTAGTAGTATAGTTGTAGCACGAATGGGTCGGCTCGACCGAGGAAGGACCACGCTCTCACTGAATACCAGCGTGAAATAGTAGCTTAATGCTGCTGTATTTCGTATGGTGAATGTAGAGAACCGAAGACCCTTTTTACTGGAAACGAGGCATTCCATCTTAGTCCTCACGGGTGACAACACATCTGCATTTTGATTCGTAATCGAGGATAGATGTAGATGTCTATGGGCCACAGCAACCACTTACCATCAGGTGGACTGTGTGCTCGTTTGTCACCCTATCCTATAAAAAAACACATTTCTGTTCGATTACCAAAAATTGAATTACCAAAATTTTCGGGAAGTTACCATAACTGGCTAGAGTTTAGGGATACGTTTGTTTCCGTAATTCATTGCAATAACGACATAGACAAAATAAACAAGTTACATTATTTGCGTGCGTCACTCAAAGACAGTGCCTTACTTGTTGTAGATAGTTTGGATTTTAAAGCAGATAATTATGACTCGGCCTGGAAATTGCTCTGTGACAGGTATGATAATAAAAGGTTTTTGTGAACAACCACGTTCAAGCGCTTTTTAATGTAGAGCCATTACAGCGCGAGTCTAGTAAAGCCCTCAGATATATAATTGATGTAACAAATAAAAAATCTTCGTGCATTGTCCACCCTTGATCAACCGGTTGAGCATTGGGATGATAATTTACATGATGTCAATTAAATTGGACGCCGTTACTAATCGCGAATGGGAACAGCATCGAAACAGTTTAATTAATGCGCCTACTTTATTGATATTCACATCATTCTTATCCAACAGGGCTGACCTGTTAGAAACCCTTGAAGAATCTCAACTCGCCCAGGATAAGAAGGATAATACAAGCGCGCTTCAAACTAAAAAAAATTATGTTACAAATAGTAAACAATATCTATATAACAATAAGTGTCCATGCTATTGATTGATTGAACAACAAGTGTGGTATGGTATACGGGTATGTGACCCCGGCTACCCTAGCTATTACTGTCCTGTCCCTTGCTCTCATGGACGGTAATATCCTACATTTCCTATTTCCTACCCTAACTTACCTTACTCTTCCTTTTCACACCAACTATCCTTCCCGTTTTCCTATTCCTACCCTCCGCCAATCCAACGTCGGCCGCGCGGATGGATGCATGGCTAGGGGCGAGCCTAGTCGTTAGCGTGCCACACTGCCCTAGGACCGGGCGACCCCAGAATTAGGCTAGCCTTACCCTGGCATGCGGGGCTCTGCTGGGGGGGGGACAAAATTTTCCCTCGCTATTCGTGGGAACGCAATGGATAATCAAAAAATTAACCAAAATGGCGGCGATGTGGTTCGCCACCCATCACGTCTCGTTTCTCGCGGGGGCGAAAAGCGGCCCACGGAGAGCCCCTTCGCTACGTTGAATGTAAGAGGAGGGATGGATAGTAAGGTAGATGGAGTATGTCAGATGACGGATGAACGTTGCATTGATATTTTGTGCGTGAACGAAACCAAGAGGATACTGGTCGGGAGTCCCCCAAACCAGCCGAGGCTGTCAGGGAGTTGGTGTGATTCTTTCATCTCGAATGGTTGAATGTGTGATGGAGCATGAATGTGTAAGCCCAAGACTCCTCTGGATTAGGTTAAAAGTCGGACTCACCCGCTTGTTTATCCTTGGGGTCTATACACCGACGGATCTGCGTGGAGGTGGGTCACTAAAATCACAACAAGAGAGAGAGGAATTTTGGGATAGCATGAGAGAGGTCTTGAATAAATGCGGAGAAAATGAACGGATCATGATGTTAGGGGACTTTAATGGATGGGTTGGAGTAAAGCGTGATGGGTATGAAGGAGTTCTGGGTATGTTTGGGGACGAAAGAGTGAATGACAATGGGAGAAGCCTGCTTGAAGTATGCTTGGAATGGAATATGTGCGTGGCCAACAAAATGTTTGACCACAAAAAGATCCATTTGTATACAAGAGATGAGGGTGAGTCTAGAAGTATGATTGATTTTGTAATTGTGGATGAAAGACTGAAGAAGAAAGTGCTAGACACTCGGGCATACCGCGGTGTACTCCTCGACCAAGACCACTTCCTGGTCATAGCTCGAATGCGTGGCCTCTTTAAACGGTGGCGACACCGAGGGGCCGAGCTTACGAGTGTTTTGGACAGAGTAAAAGTGGAAAATCTACAAGAAAAAGAAAAGAAAGACGAGTATTTAGAGAAACTGAAAGAAAGTTTTAAAGGGATAGAAGAGATAGGAGTGATTGAAGATTTGTGGGGGACATTTAAGAAAGGGGTTGTAAATGTTGCGATTGAGGTATGCGGGGTAGCTAAAAGAAGGAAAGGGAGAAAGAATGATAACGTGTGGATGGACAAAGATGTACAAAGGGTTGTGCAAGAAAAGAAGAAAGCGTGGTTGGATTGGTTAGCAACAAACGCTAACCAAAAAGTTCAAAAGGCAACGGATGACGAGATAAAGGAAGCAAGAACGAAGTATAAAAGATTGAAAACAGCAGCGAAAGAAACTGTGTCTAGAAAGAAAGAAGAACGAAAAGATGATTTCGATAGGAGGCTCACTGAAGATTTCCAGTCAAACATTAAGTTTTTCTGGAAAACCATCAAAACAGCCAGA